AGAGGTGAGGACACGATGTGAAAGACCCGATCGTTGCAACACAGCCCCAGAGAGGAGTACTGACAGCATGTCGCAGCTTCGCGAAAATCGTCGGTTATCTGGAGAAACAGCATGATGATCACCTCATGGAAGAGTCGCGAATCAAGCGAAATCCTCGCTTCAGGGACAACAGAGTTCATGCCATGCTCTACTTCATCACTCCAACCGGCCACGGGTACGATCCTCCTACTTCCAGCATCCATGTGTCGGTGGTAGCCCCCCATCGCTAATCGGTAATCGGTGCTAGTCTCCGCGAACTCGACATCGAGCTCATGAAGCGCCTTGCTTCCCGTGTCAACGTTATCCCAGTCATCGGTCGCGCCGACTCTCTTACACCTTCTGAGCTCGCTCAGTCGAAAGAACTCATTCTCGAGGACATTGAGTATCATCGCATTCCTGTCTACAATTTCCCTCACGATGTCGACGACGACGACGAGACGATCGAAGAGAACACTGAGCTGCGACGCCTGATGCCTTTCGCGATTGTCAGCAGCGAGGAGGTCATGGAAGTTGGTGGTCAGATGGCGCCCGTCCGAAAATATCCATGGGGTTGCGTGGAGGTGAACAATCCGCACCATTCAGACGTTTTAGCGATTCGATCTGCGTTGCTACATAGTCATCTGGTAGATCTCAAGGAGATCACATATGACGTGCTGTACGAGGATTATCGAACAACGAAGCTTTCCAAGGTCCTTCAGGGTGAGGATAAAGGGTAAGTTGTCTTTCACTACCCGTACTTTCCAGATCGCACTGCATGGCTATCAGCTGACATGAAGCCCTTCAAGCGAGTCGAATCCGGACCAACGCGATCTTTCCGAGCAAATTAGACTTCTACAGGGAGAAAAACTTCGCAAAGAAGAGGAACGACTCCGGGAAGTTGGATTGAGGCTTCAGCGCGAGATTGATGATAAGCGACAGGAACTTCTGGTGCGTGAAGCTAAGTTGCGTGAGATGGAGACCAGAATTCAGCGGAAGGCTGGGGGAGCTGCTGGCAAGCTGGAAAGAGCGTCGTCTCCGGTCGAAAGAGACGCGATTTGATTTGTCCAGGCCGTCTCGAAGTAAGCAACAAATCATGGAGTACAGGAGCTACCGAACCGAAATCACGTGGTCGGGAAAGGGTATATGAAACTCTGCTCTCGAGAGCCATCAGTGGTGCGAGCTTGTTTGTCAGACCTCGTACCCGCCCTGGACAAGCAGATTGCCTTGGCTACGCCGAATCACACCTCTTTGTGTGGGAGAGCGCGATTAACTGAGCCGATGAACGAATGTGGATTGGCGCAAAGTGTAGCCGATACGGCTTCCTGCATGCGAGACACGATGAGTCTCACGATTCATAGTAGTCACACAGATCAAGGGTACATCGCATTTTCGAACACCATACTTGCGCGTGAAAGTTGGAGACAAAGATAATGACATCGTGCTGGGCTGGGAGTTTCTACTGGTCTAAATCGATGTGTTCCTGGCTGCTGCATTTACCGAGAGGGCAGTTTACTCCTGCAATGCCCTTGCCTATAGGTACTGTGATCAGGGTTGGGGGCACGAGTTTCCGGCGCGTTGACATATATTGGAGCGCTGTATTTTGGGTGCCCCGAGTGGTGCAGCATCGAAACTATCGAGATGCCGCCCCAGCAGGTCTGAACACAGTATATGTGCATGCCAGAGCTTTGACCGCGTCGACTACCCCAAAATGGTCGCGATTTTGACCAAGTCCGATCACCTGGTAGTTGTAGGTGCAGAGATTGCCCTTAGAATTCGCCAAAATGTCCTTCGTTTTCTTGCCCGCCTCGATAATGGGTACTCCGGCGGCATCAACGACTTGCACGTGCTGCTCGCCCGTCCTGAAGCCGGGGACAGAGCGGCATGTCAGCAGCTTCTCCTTGAAGATGAGGTTGCCCTCACTCCAGACCCGAGGGTAATCTGGTACGGTTACTGGTACCATAGCCGCAGCCGCAGTCAGGCCACCAGTATATCCATTGCGGTTTGGCTTGTTACTTAAGAATGTCAATGCATTTCGCCTGGGAATAACATACCGGGCAGCCGCGATCGCTTGAGAACACCGATCCTCAGCCATCAAGCGAATCCGCACGGCCATATCTATTCAATATGCGCGTGCATTCTCTCCTCAGGCTTCTGGCCCTCGCCCCTCTAGCCGCTACTGGCGATGTCTTTGTCCACTACATGGGGCAGGGCCTCAATATCGATAGCGCCGTCTCGGACGTAGCCCAGGCTGTTGCCATAGGCGTCGACGCTTTTGCTCTCAACGTTGGCCAGCCCGACCTAGACTGGTCGGTTTGATTACGTCGAGCGCTTGTTCAACACGGCGCAGGGCACCAAGCTCAAGATTGTCTTCAGCCTCGACTTGTACGTCACAACGACCCGGAGCGATTCCGCAAGATGATCAACGACTACTTGGGGTACCCCAACTACTATACGACTGGCCCCAACAACCTTCCAATGCTTAGTACCTCAGCAACGCCGATGGTTGGACGGCGACGTCGTGGAACAACTTTCGCGAGTCAGTCAAAAAGAGAACGTATTTTGTGTGCCCGTGATCGACCAGCTCCCAAACTACTATACGGACCCCGATGCTTTCTGGTCTTCGTGGTCCGGTGCCGTCGACGGCGTTTTCACGTGGGAGCAGGCGTGGCCCAGGAGTTCCAACACGCGCCAGAGCGTCCTCACAGGCCTCGACGCGAGTCTCATGCGCAGGTCTTACCGTGAGGGGGGTTCCTCACAACGTTCCAGTCCAAGCACTACAAGAGCGACCATTGGTGCCGGGCCGGCGACATCATCATGACGGACAATATGACGCATCTTCTCGCGCTTTGCAGCACGGCTGGCAACAGGCCAGACTTCATTCAAATCCAGAGCTGGAACGATGCTGGTGAGGGCCATTACATTGGTCATCGGCGGCACGAGGGCCTTCTCAAAGAACAGCTCGCGTATGCCAACCAGGACGAGCACCCACATAACGGTTGGCAGCCGCTGTTCGCCAGATTTTTTAACGCGTGAAAGAGCAACGCCACGGATACTTTCCAGAAGCAGACCCGAGCCGGATCGCGCACCTTTGTCGTTGGTGCCATGTGACATCGCGAGGTACTGGCCTCGTCTTCATGCTCGGGAACCGACGATAAGCCTCACGGTGCTGGAGCCACAATGGACACAACCAACTGGGGCCGTCGTGCTCAACAGTGGCATTACGGGCACTCACTACGTACAGGTCTGGAGTGAGGGCAACCTAGGTCACCGTGAGGCCGTTTCCTAGAATAGGCGGTGGAGTGCAGGATTGGGTTTAACTACTCGCGTCTGTGACCGGTCGGTGCATCTTTGTGAGTGGTTGTAGTTGTGTCCGTGGGGCAAGGACCGAGCATCTTCAAGAAACCGTTGCAATGTCCTGGCATTCGTGGGACGGACTGGAGATGATTCCCTCGATGTGTGTAGCTACACCCTTTGAGAGTCGGATTCCGACGTTGCATCGAGCGCGAAGCCCTGGGAAGTGCAACGTCCCAATTGTTATCTTGCTTTGTCCTGATGCTCTGGGATCATAACTTCCTGGTGGCCTCGAATGTGATGTCACAAACATAGTCACGGGCAGTATACCCTACTGAGCGCAACTAGCAGAATGATCTCGAGAATGGGACCTGCTCCGAGCGAGATGTCAACGGAAGAGAGCACACAGAAGTTCTAAAGCGCAGAGACGCGATTGACCTCAACATGGAGGCATCAGCGAAGTGACGGCTCCCTCCCTTGACCGCACCAACCTCGCCATTAGCGACCGAGAGCCAAGGTGAACCAGCGGTCGGAATTCGCAAAAAAGAATGGCAAAAACGTACAACACCGGGAATTCGCTGGTCGTCACCGACCCAACTACTGATCCGGCGGTATCGAGCTTGTGTACAGGGGAGCGGACGGGACCCTCAATTTTCTCGATCCTATGGTCGTACGTAAAAGGTTGTGTTGCAGAGCACATCTATATAGCCCAGCTTACCAATAGCAGTCATTCATGGAGTGGTGTGGCCCTTGTCGAGCCCGAGGTATCACTCGTTCATCGTGGTGTAGCTACGTCATCGGACAGCTCATGAGAGGGCATCAGAGAACCCGAGATTCCAATTGATGTCTTGTTTCTTGACCACCACGGGCTGTAGGTTCAAACTCGTCAAGGTACAGAAAGCCGGACTGCGCCAGGCCACTGTTCAACTCCAAATCGCGATGGGAAAACTGTACCAGTCTCCGTCCTCGCGAGAAAATGCTAGCCCAGTAGCTATGGAGTGTCACCGTGTGCTTGGTATGATCGACGCAGTCGAGAGTATGCACCCATCCTCGGGCTGCTTACCCCTTGCATCCGTAGATTACCAGTGACAAATCGTGTGCTCGTGTGCCACCAATATGTAACCCACCCCGCGGCTCATTAATCGGCTGTGCCATGGCCGCCGTCTTCAGGCTCTGGCAAGGCTCTTTCAGACATGTTGGTTGTTGGATAGAAGTGGAACTTTGCCCGCTTGTAACTAGTTGTCATTGCCCTGCTTGGGGAAGTATTCTCTCTATGATATTGAGGGCGATGGAGGAGAAGGCCAAGCGCGAGTCTATCCCGCTGGAGCATATCGAGGGGGATGGCAAGCTGAAGTTCCACAACAATGCAAGAGTTCGACCCGCGCAGTTCTCAGTCGACATTTTTTTTTCTCCCTGCCTAATGATTTGCAAGATTCACAGAGGCAAGAAGGCTCAAACCGCGAAGAGGGTGCAACGAAATCTGCATTGCTAAAAGCAACCACTAGGGTGATAATTCAATGGCCGAGGACTGGAAGTAGCAGTTGCTATGCCTTGAATGAAGCCGCCCAGCGAGCGGCTGCAAGATGAATAAATGAATCCTCATCTATCGTGGCTTGTTCTTGGTAATGCATTGATTCCACCACTGTACACCACAAGGACCCTTTTAACATCGCCGCTCACCATCCACAATCGGCTCAGTGGTCTAGTCGTATGATTGCTGCTTCGGGAGTCCAATCCCGCTCTGGAACACATCCAGAGTTGTCTCTACAAAATGTAGCAGGTCCCGGGTTCAAATCCCGGCTGAGCCCAATCCTTTTGCCAATCTGCACATCGTTGTGCTCAGACACGTCTCCCTTGTGCGAAATGTGTCCTCGCTTTTTCGGGTGGGTACGCACGGTGTGTGTCATCCGCTTTAGTCAACTAGAGTGAGGGGTAAGTTCTACCGGCTGTGCCATGCAGAGCGCGCATTGTTGTTACGTAGCTTGGAATTATCACTGACACTATCAATGGCTGCTGGGCAGAGAGTATGCTATACAATTGTGTTGATTCAGTTCTTCAGCTGGCAACGGCAATTTGTCCCTGTCCCTCATGAATGAAAAGCTCTTTATCAATGGCCAACCAAGCAGGGAGAGGTTCTGTCCAGCACCGCCAGCAGGTAATCGCCCTCTTGTGTTTTTGCCTAAGCTTGGAAACTTCCGGGAGGCTTCGGGATATCTCCAGGGTTGATGACGCAGAATCCACCGCTGCCAGGGCAGCGTGCTGGCGCCTTGCAAGTGCTGTAAAAATCCCACGTGTTGGAACGTCCGCACAACAGCTATCGTAAACGGAGAGAGGTGAAGCTGGTGTCAGCCATGTTCACCGCTCGGACTCTACTGCGCCTTGTGGTTTAGGAAGTCGACAGATGAGGCTTACAATGGTGCGAGCGTCCTCGGTGCAGGCCCACTGGTATCTGCCATCGTAGACACAAGGGTCACCCGGAGACGGTGCGGCAACAGCCAGAGTGCCGAAGAGGGCGATGAAGAGTGCGGCCTTAGGTGTGTACATCATGCGGTGTTGTGGTGGTAAATCTTTGTAGAGATGCGGATGCTTTATTCTGTGCTGTTCAGTGAATTGCCGACGTACCGATGCTCTTATAGTCCGGAGTGACTGGTTGTTCTGGAGTAAGCAACTTCCAATACCCGACTGTACGGTGACATCGGGTACGTGATAAATCCAACGGCCCTTTCAGGCCCATACCTGGTACACTCGCAGCGATAACTAATGCCCAGCTAGGTAGGTAGCACTTGCAGACTGGTCAGAGACGGCAACCGAATGATCCTTCAAACACATTCATTCCGAGACGTCGGATAGGCTACTATGCGATTCGTGGCTGGGCATGCACGTCTGACATAGTTGGCTGACGAGTCCATTTCAGGCCCCCGAATGACGTGAGATAGATTGAAAGTGCCACGGGGGATAGCCTTGCTGACCATCCACCTTTGAGCGACCACCTTGATACTTTTGCCCAGACCTTTCCCAGAACCAGATACGGACTGGATGAAGGCCTGTATGGAGGAGTCGGATATGGCCAAGAAAGTCTGGACTGTCAAGCTTTCGGACTTCCCATATTACTGTAAAAGGTACACTTCAGGGTGACGTTGCACATTCCTTCAGCGTTCAACGAGCGTCTCCAGGGATTGACGAAAGCATACGCCTACTCGAAGATGCAGCCGAAGGCCACTGGTTAGCGAGGCATGTTGTACAGAGGCAGTATATTCTCGGCTTCGCTGCTGTCTGCTCGCGACCGACTGTTGTAGTGGCCCAGAAGATACACCGTGATCCATTGCATCTGGTCCTTTGAAGGTGGTACTGCTTTGTGAAGACTCTCGATATATGCCATGGTGTGTGCCGAGCTGCGGCCTCTTGGGCCAGGAAGTCATCGAAGTGAATGCTCCCTGGAGAGTTATGACTCTGGAGCATTTGAGCGGGGCCAAGGAGGAGAGCAGCTTGCGTGAGTCATGGGTAGAGAACGCCGTGGACGCGACCTGCCCGCACTTCCCCGCACGCGAGTCGAATATTGCGGCTGGGAGGCGCCCCACGATGCGGGGAAATGAGATTTCGGAGACGGATGATGGTGGAAAAGGTTGCCCGAGGGCTGCGGGAGCCACGGCTGGGCAAGCGCAAGCCTGAAGACCTGGAGCTTGGATGCATGGACATATTTAGAGTATTGACCTTTGTCACCACGCAGTGCTCTCGCAGGGACCTCCGAAAAAAGATCTGCTCCTGTCTCTCGCCGTCGCCTTTTTCTTCAAGTCTTGATCTTCAGCCTGGCAGACTCGCTTGGCCTTGACTTCAGCTTTGACCTTCATCATACTGGCACCCCGATCCTAAGATGTCGCTACCGACAGTCCTTGTACGCGGAAGCGCGCTCCGCACTGCCGCCCGGACAACATCCTCCCTTCGCAACCGCCAACAAACCAGAAGCTTTACCGTGCCCAAGCGCGAGGCCATCTACCCGACCCTCAAGGACAAGGTAATTCTCGTGTCGGGTGGCGCGGGCGGTATCGGCAAGGAGACTGCACGACTTCTCGCCGCGTCAGGGGCCAAAATCTCGCTCGCCGACTTCTCCGAGAAGCCCCTCAACGACTTTGCCGAGGAGCTCAGCAAGACGTACAGCGGCGCGCAGGTTTCCACCACGGTCGTCGACGTGCGCTCTCAGGCCAGCGTTGAGAAATGGGTGAACCAGGCCGTCTCCGACTTTGGCGGCTCTGGGATCGACGGCGCGGCGAATCTCGCGGGCGTGCTTCCCAAGAACACGCTCGGGACATCAGCGGGCATCGAGCACATCGCCAACGACGTCTGGGAGCAGGTCATTGGAGTCAACCTCACGGGCCTCATGTACTGCATGCGCGCCCAGCTACCTAAGTTCAACGACCACGGTAGCATGGTCAACGCCGCGAGCGTCGCGGGACTCAGAGGCTATGCTGGTTCGGCCGCGTACGGGGCGAGCAAGTTTGGTGTTGTTGGTTTGACGCTGTGCGCGGCTCAGGATGTGGGCAAGGACAGAGGCATCAGGGTGAATGCTGTGGCGCCGTGAGTCGCTCTCTCTTGTCTTTCTCCTACTTGTGACACCATGCTAACGACAGGTCCAATCAGTGGTACCATAAGAACGCCCATGCTCACAGATCTCGGCATGTGTCTCGGTGAGCTGAAGGACAATCCTGTCATGCCGGGCGCGCTCAACCGCGACGGTATGCCAGAAGAGATCGCCGCTCTCATTGTGTGGCTGCTAAGCTCGGAGTCATCCTTTGTCACGGGCACTACCTACTCAATTGACGGTGGCCACACCACGTAGCTGGAGCGTGAGAGACAAAAGTTTCTTATAAGCGAAAACACGTGGTTCTGATTTTACCAGATATAACGGCCCGTCATCTGTGATGAAAATGATCTCCCAAGGCCACGTAGAGAGAAAGCCTGAGCCCTATAGGGCTTGTGAGGGTCACTCAGCTGGTGACAGTGATGTCGACCATGCAAGACCGATTTCTCGCGGCGAGCACATTAGAATATTTCACAAGAGAAACAGCAAGAGTAGTACTATCGTCCACTGTTCCGGGAAAAGGCCTGACGCCCTTGAGCTGCATGTAATGAGATAAGGGACATCTGTTCAACCTTATCAGTTTTAGCATATGAATAAAACCTGTCATATGTAGTAAACGTATTGCCTAGATCATACGTGAATGTCAGTGTCGAGCTACCGAGGATAGCTCCTGCGCACGGTCAACTTTGCTGGTTATCACACTACTCAGTACACAGTTCCCCTCTCGATGAATCGCTTCGGGATATCCACCATCTTAGCCCGCAGGTACTCGAGACAGTTCTTTCCCAGCGTGTCATATGTACTACACGCGTCATAACCGCGATCGAGGTGGTCGTGCAACAGAAAGTGCACCGCCTTGATGTTGGGCATCTCGAACCGGTCGATCGGCTTGCCCTTGTCCTCCTCAGGCCCTAGAAGCTCCCTGATCTTGCACACGGTCATAAGCGAGCGCAGCCAGTCCCACTCGTCGTCGTGCTTGACGAAGAAGCCGACGTTGCAGTCACTACACTTGTCACCTGAGCGGCCGAGCACGATCAGGCCGAGCGGCGCACGCACCGTCTCGCCCCAGCTGTCGAGCGGCAAGGGGTTGGAGGTCTCGTAACTGGGCTGCTGGCGGTCGTACGTCTTGAACTCGGGGGCCAGCGGGATGTCGATCGCCTTGGAAGCCGAGCTGCCATCGTCGGCTAGGATGTGCACGCGCTGCGGGATCGCCGACTGAGGCAGGAGGGCCGGGTGGTACTCGAAGTAGGGCTTGCCCTCGGCCTGGCGCATGTCGTTGCCGAGCGAGGCGCCGGGGCAGCTCATGAGGAAGGTAACCATGCTCTTGCGGAAGAAGCCCTTGGGGTTGTGGATGCGCAGCAGGTCGCGATCGCGGCTCTGCGCAAAGATGCGGAAGTCGACCGTCGCCACGTCCTGGTTACGCGCGTCGGCCACAGACGAGCCGTTCTGCATGAATTTGAGCGTCGTAAACTTCTTCAGAAGCTCCGGCCCCAACTCGTACCGGATCTGCTCCTCGGTCCAGCGGCACTTCTCCTCGATATTGAGACCCACAAGATACACGTGGTACTCGGCCTGCCAGCCCGCAAGACCGGTGATGCCGACTTTCGTGGTCGGCGGTGGCGGTAGCCCTCTCACACCTGACACCCGAACGTGGTCCTCGCCGACCTGCTCAATGCGGATGTTTTCAATCTGCGCCGTCACGTCACAGTTGTAGTATTGCGGACCTTGGATCTCGTACAGCAGCTGCGATGTGACCGATGACACCGTCATCTGTCCGCCCGTGTTTTTCTCCTTGTACATGACCCCCTCGCCCTTGTGATCGATGGCGCAGATTGGGAACCCAACGTTTATGTGCTTGCCCTGCTTCAGGAGGTTGACAAAATCGGAGCAGTAGCCTCCAGATACATAGCTGGCACACTCGAGCAGGTGCCCGATGATGAGGGAGCCTGCGAGCTCGTCGAACTGATCCGGCCGCCAGCCGTGCCACCACGCCGCGGCGCCGATGATGGGTGAGGCGTCCGAAACACGGCCGCAGATGACGATGTCGGCACCCTCGGCCAGTGCCCTCGCGATGCCCAGGCCGCCGAGGTAGCACTGCGCGCAGACCGGGTCGAGCCCCCACTCGTCGACCGAGCGGCCGTGCATGAGACTGCGGAACTCTTCGCCCTGCTCTAACAGGGCCTTGACGGCGCCCGTCGCGTCATCACCCTCGACCCAGGCGATCTTGAGGCT